GCCGTGGGACAGGTGCCAGCGGCCAAAGCACCCAGCGGCTCTGGGCAGGTACGTGCTGTGCCCTGCGCAGCTCCTCTGAAATGCTGAGCACTGGCAGTGTCGGTCCAAATCCAAATGGCAACGGGGGGAATTGCAGGAAACTGGGAGTGACGTGGGTGTAACACAGACACAGCCTTGCAGGAAAGCCTGTGCTGCTTTCCTAAGGGAGCATCCTGTAGGAGAATACCCACTCTTCTTGGTTTTAAGGAAAAGAGTGTTTGCAGGAGCAGGTGACAGAGGGATTGATAGTTCAGAATGCTCAGAAAGAAGAATTTTTGCATCCTCCGAAAGGGTCCTCTTCCAGCATCCTGGTTAGGTTCTTGTCCAGTCAGCGAAAGGATGAGAGGATACAGTTTTAAGCTGCACCAGGAGAAGTTTAGGTTGGGCAACAGGACAACAGGAACAATTTCTTCATGAAAGGGTGATTAGGTGCTGGAAGGGGCTGCCCAGGGAGCTAGTGGAGTCCACATCACTGGAGGTGTCCAAGGAACAACTGGACATGACACTTAGTGCTCTGGGCTGGTGACAAGGAGGGACTGATCTCAGGTAGGACTCCATGGTCTCAGAGGTCTTTTCCAAACTCAGTGGTTCTGTTAAACAAAGCAGGTCAGATTGCTTGTGCATGACTGAAAAATTTCCATCAGAAATCTAAAGCCTGCAGCCCGTGAAACACACCTGGCTGCATCCTAAGCCCTGCAGCCACATTTGAGTCAGGAATTTCTACTTTACTGCACTTCTTGATCTGCTCACCATTAACATCAGACTTTTAAAAGCAGACCACCTAAGGAAACACTGAGGGTAATGCTTGAGGAGACGGCCACCTCCTCCCTTCCTCTGGTTTGGCATTTGCAGAACACACCAGTTGTGATGGGTCCCTAAAAACTGCCAGTATCATCATGCCTTCCCATGCTGAGAGAGGGAACATACATGTCTGTCAGTCCCCAGCAAACAGAAACCAGGCACAGATATGATGGAATGGAGCTGCTCTGTACAAGTGTCTGGGATGTTCTAACTACAGAACAGCAGAGAAAAAGCTGCTTGTCCCTAACTTTGTCTGCTTTCTTCCCTGCAGATGTGGAGCACAGCTACACCTGAAAAACCTCCGGAGCCCACGCCAGGCTTTGTCTCCGAGAACAGTTCCAGTGCCCGTGGCTCCTCTTCCATGCCTGCAGGCCACCAGAGCCACTTGGAAAAGCCTCGGGAGAGCACGAGGGCTCCCCCTCTGCACCTGCGCTCCGAGTCAGTCCCTGCCCCCTCCTCCTACGGCTTCACCCCACCCGTGCCACCCGTGAGGACGCTGGAGAGCAAGATTGCAGCGGCCATGCACTCCAGCAACACGGACGCCATCAACAACTCCAACTACCACTCCTTCCTGGCCTCCTCCATGCTGGCATCCTCCGTGGAGGAGGCGCTGCTGCCGCCGCCACCGCCGCCGCCTCCCAAGCACTCGTCCATGCAGCCGGTGTACGTGCCGCACCCCAAGGCAGAGAGCCTCCCCGAGCCCGCGGGGCCCGACAGCTACCTGCACACCAAGCACCAGTACCGGCCCGAGAGCGTCCCTGCCCACGGCTACCACGGCAAGGCCGAGCAGCACCAGCCCTACCCGCCCCGCCCGGAGCCACCCGTCACTGCGGGCGCGCGCTACGGCTCCTACGGCACGCAGGGCAAGGGCTCTGCCGCGGGCCTGCACCCCAAGCCCCGCAGCCGCACCGACTTCGTGTCCTCCGTGAGCTCCGCGGGGCTGCGGGGCAGCGGCTACGCCGAGGAGGCCCCCCCGTACCCCACCATCCGCAGGGTGCAGTCACTGCACGTGCCCGGCCCGGCCGCCGCCGCCGCCATCCGCTCCGTGCCCATCTCCCGCACGGAGGTGCCCCCGGACGACGAGCCCGTGTACTGCCCGCGGCCCCTCTACCAGTACAAGCCGTATCAGCCCCACTCCGACTACCACGTCACGCAGCTCCAGCCTTACTTTGAGAACGGGCGGGTCCATTATCGCTACAGTCCCTACTCCAGCTCCTCCAGCTCCCCCTTCTACGCCGCGGCCGACGCGAGTTTCTGTGACCTGGATCCCTACAGCACCGTGCGGGTCCGGCCCTTCCATGGCCTGCCCAGCCGCGAGTTCGGCCCCTACGTGTCCCGGCTGCAGGGCAAGGGGCTGTACCGCTACCCCAGCCTGGCCGCCTACCCCCGGGCGGGGCTCATCAACCACCTGGGCAAAGAGCACAGCTTCGTGAGCAGGGACGTGCCCCCCCCCGCCCCGGACATCAAGCACATGTACATGTCCTGGGACCTGGAGGACATGGAGAAGTACCGCATGCAGTCCATCCGCCGCGAGAGCCGCACGCGCCAGAAGGTCAAAGGGCCCCTCATGTCCCAGTACGACAACGTGGCCCCGCTGCTGCAGGACGAGCTGGGGGGCCTGGATGCCGTCCACCTGCGCAGCAAATCGGATCCTGGCAAGAGCGGCCTGCTGACGGTGGCAGAAGGGAAGGAGGGCAGGTACCCGGCCAAGGCGGCCACGCCCGAAGGGGACGAGCGTTACTACGGGCAGCACGCGGAGCCTGAGCTGGACCGAGCCCTCTATCACGGCGGGGGCTACGGGAACGGGCAGCCTGAGAAGCCGTCCTTGCCCCAGAAGCAGAGCAGCATCCGGAACAGGAAGATGCACGAACCAGGCAGCAGCAGCAGCGAGCACAGGACGTATTTGCAGCAGGAAGCCAACCATAGGCAGCCTTCCGAACCCAAAAATGGGCCCCCCTACCCTGAGTACAGGCCCAAGGGTGGCCCGGAGCCCTCTGAGCCCATGGGCTACCAGCACTCGGGCAGCAAGTACATCCCAGGCAGCCAGGAGACCCTGAGGCTGAACCACAAGGAGGGGAGGCTGGCAGAGGACAGGCCGGACCTGGAGAGGCCCCGAGGCAGAGCGTCCATGGAGAAGCACTCCAGAGACTGCTACAAGGAGGAGGAACACGCCGCCCCTCCCGTGGCGCCGCCGCCCAAGCCCGAGCGGAGCCACAGCCTCCGGATGCGGGAGCACCCCGAGCCCATGGAGAGGGACTCTGCCCTGCTGTACCCCTACCAAACCCTGGGCAAGCACCAAAGCACGATGACTGTGGTGTCCCAGTACGATAATCTGGAGGATTACCATACCCTGCCTCAGCACCAAAGAGGGGGCTATGCTGGAGCGGGGGGCTTCGTGCCCCCTGGCTTCCCCCACGTGCACAGCAGAACTTACGCCACAGCGCTGGGGCAGGGAGCCTTCCTCCCCACAGAGCTGTGTCTGCAGAGGCCCGAGACTGAGGTGCACGTCGAGTGAGCTCTGGGGGGGACGAGGGATAGAGTCTAAGCAGCCTCTGCTGGACAGTGGACTGTTTTATTTTTTCAGTGACAGTAAGAAACTCCCCGACCCGGCCCCAGTGAGCAAAGCAAAGCCCCCTCAGCCCTCCCCTGGCCCCCACTCACTGTTTTTATGTAGTAGAGCTATAGATTTTCATGTAGTTTTGAGCCACCTGGGAGGACAGGGCAGGCTGTTGGCACACAGGTGTTGCCAGAGGCCGAGCAGGGCTGACACAGACGCTGTTGGGGCAGGGAGGGAAGGAGTTTGCCCTTCCCAGAAGTGACACTGGCTGCTGCTCCCCACGCCCAGGGTCCCATGCATGATGGGCTGTGCACGAGAACTGTGCCTGCAGCTCCATCCTGCTGCAAACTGCCCATCCCAGCTGGCTCCAGGAAAGGGCCGTGGAGGATCCTTGGAGTTACACAGAGAGAGTGGGGCTGGGCAGGGCTCCCCAGGGATCCTCTCCTTGCTGAGGCCCTGCCTCTCCTGTGGCTGCGCCCACTGCAGCTGCTCTGAGCTGGGTGGGGGCCTGTTCTGATTTCAAGCCCAAGGAATAGGCTCTGAAGCCAGCTCAGAACACAACACACTTGTTACATTTCTTGCTTATTAACAAGCTGCTTCTGCCTACAAGAAGTCCATTTCCTTCACATTTCTGTGTTGTAAGCAGAGGCCAGCTGCAGGAGCCATGTAGGACAGGTTTGCATTTCTCACACCAAAAGAAATAAACCACTAAAGTACACCAAACCCAACCCCCAGAGCTGGGAACAGCACACACATTCCGTGCCAGTCCTTCCTCTTTGCTGCAAGGTTATCTGTGGCCCAGATAAGCTCATTCCATCCTGTGGCTGGCAAGACTCTTGTCATCTCACTGTAAAAAATACTAAAAAACTAGATTTAAAAAAAAGTCTATAGGATTATATAAATCAGAGCCCTCCTTGCCAGCTGTGTGTGACAAGTTGTCTGCGTGAGCAGCTGCCCTGGGCCAGGTCCTGCAGCAATTCCATCAGGGAATGCTCCTGCTGAGCTTAAGCTGGAGGTCTCCAGACTCTCTGCAGCCTCTGAGTTCCACGCTAGGCAGAGATCCCTGCGGAGTTGTGTGCACAGGGAGCAGTGATGAGCCCAGGTGCAGTCCAGGACTCAGTGAGTAGGAACAGAAGGCCAGTGCACTCTAGAATACACTAAAAATGGTGTTCAAGCTGTTGAAAAGCTTTGATATTGTAAAAACAGCCTGGCAGCCCCTCATGCTGCCTCTCAGACTCCCCAGGACTCACACCCCCTGTACAAATAAAGCACATCCATTCCATTAGGTAGGGCTTGCAAGCAATACTTGAGATTTAGCAGTTTTTAAATGTTCACTGATAAATTCCAAGGCCATTCCTGTTCCGTGTGGTTGAAGAACTTCTCTACCTGTTTCAAATCTCTAATCTTTTATGAAAAACCTGGAAGTCCTGCAGTTAGCACACAGCTGCTTAGGTGGGGCTTTTTGAACAAAAAGTTTCGTGGCTATTTTGGGACTTTTAAATCCTAAGGAAAGCCTGCTTCTAGTTGCTGACTACTCTGTAGCTTTTTGCTTCTTTTAACCTTGGAGCCTTGTCTGGAGCTGTTTCAGTAACTACCTTCTGGATATATTTTATTGTGCAATGCTGGTGTTTTAAGCATTTTGTTTAGAAGAGTTCTCACATGTTACGGAATGAAATCAGGCAGTAAGAAAAAAAAGAAGAAAGAAAAAGAGAAAAAAGCAGCACTGTGATCCAGGTTACCACAATCTCCTCATGAAGAATTCCCAGGTAGAGGGGTTGGGGTTTTTGGTGAGGGAATGCTTTTTGTAGTGTTTTCTTTTAAGGAAAACTGACAGAACTGCACAGAAAGGGACCACTGGGTGAGCCACCCTGTCTCCACTGGCAGTAGCTGCCAGGCCAGGCTGAGCTGCCCTGGTTCCTCGGAGCCAGGCTGGATTATCTGTGCTCCCCAGCAGAGCTGTGTTGTGCCAGGACCAGCCTCAGCCCCTGGCTACCTGCCAGGTCTCCAGTTGAAGCAGGGATAAGTGTTTGGTTCAGGCTATTTGGGATTCAGGTAAAGAGAGCTGCAGGTCCAACCTCTCTCTCTGTGAAAGCCTTAACTCCCCCCTGCCCTCAGCCTCCCCTCCCTCTGCCTGGGCCTTACGTCAGCCAGGACTATCCTGCCACTGCCAGGGGCTGCTCCAGCTCCTGGCAATTGTAAAGCCTCTGGATTTTCCTGCTCGAAGCCACTGTCTCCCTGTAGAGCCCAAGTGCCATCCCTGACAGCCTCTGCTCCTCAGTGCTGTGCTGCTCTCCCTGCATTGTGTGAAGTGCCAGGTGCAAAGCTCATCCCATTGGAAACAAACCCTTCAGCACCTTTCCCAAAGGGCTTCTGGAAGTGCACACCTGTACCCTAACCCAGAGGGCTGCTGCAAACAGCTTTTGGGAGTGAGGGGAAGAGGACAGCAGAGCCAGCAGAGAGAGCAGAGAGTCTCAGCCACCTCCCCCTTGGTGTGCAGCCACAGCCAGGTGTGCTCCGAGGGTGGGAGCTCTCCAAGAACCCAAACTCATGTCCAGCACTGCTGAGCCACAGTACAGAATTCAGAAAGGTGAAGGCACCAGCTTTTCCCAGGTAACACAGACCAAAACCTTTCCTTTGTTGTTCCTCCTGCCCACAGCTTCAGCAGCATCCTGCATGATCCTACCCTGCCAAGCCATACAGTGAACTATGCAGTCCTGCTCCTGCTCTGGGCTCAGTCTGCTGGTCCTACAGAGAGTTTTACATCCTCATTAACTCCAGAATTCATAGGTGAGGTTGGAAAGGGTGTCATGCATCAGAACAAGGCAGGCAGGTGACACCAGGAGTCTCAGGTGGGTGAGCTGGAGGACGATGACAGCCCAGTCCTGTGTCCCAGAGTGGAGAGAGCAGGGGGACAGCAACGCAAATAATCCTCTAATCAAGTGCAGTTGTGCTTGGGCTCAGTAATTCTTGCCTGACCACGTCCCCACGAGGTGACAGCAGCTCTGTTCCTCAGCAGTTCCCTCACATGGACACTATTGCATCCGGAGCTGCCACTCCCTCTGTTTCCAGCAGAGGGTCTCCAGTGCATGCAGAATGAGGCTCCAGGAGTTGCTCCAGCTCTGGATTTTCACCTCTGCTTTGGAGCAGGACGTGACCCGCAGGAGCCCTTCCTTGGGAAGGGGAGTGCAGTCATAGGTGAGTAATGAGGACTTGGCCCCTATGAAGTCTTAAGTAAAGCATTAATTTCTGATTTTTGCAGAGTCTAATCAGGTGATATCCATATGCATCTCTGAGAACACCCCCACAACTTTGTGCCTATGTCTTTGCAGTGATCCCCACCCCTGCTCCCCGCTGGGGGATCAGTGAGGATTGCACAGTGGTAGTAAGTTGCTACACAAAACCAAAACCGACTTGAAAACGTTCTGGTCCTCTTTGACCCGAGAAGGGACAGAACCTCAAGTGTGCTCTGCCCTGCCCCGGGCTGGTGCCAGGGCATTGACTCAAGTGGTGTGTTACATGTCAGGAAATCCGGGTGAGAAGTTGTTTTCCCTCCTTTCGTTGTGGCGGCTTAGGCGCGTTCCTGTTCCCCGAGCCCAGATCCCTGTGAGAGGCATGGTGTGGTGTGAGCCAGCACCACGTTCCTCCTGTGTGCACAGCCCTGCCTTGTCCAGCTGGGGGGAGGGAGGGGAAAAAAGGGTTGTTTTGCCGTTCATTTTCCTGCTGTAGAAGACTTGATTTTTCTTTCCCTGAGCCGCATGAGAGAAACATCCCAGAAAGTCTTGGGTTACCTTTGGAGTTCCCTTCACTTTAATTTATAGAGTGTCTTTTTTTGTGAACTGGTGTAAAATGTATATGCTGACAAGCTCATGTATTTTTATGTAAATATTTTTTGTGGTTCCCCACTTGACCTTCTCTGTAAATATTTAGAATTCTCATATTCTTCTCACCTTGTATGATGCAGATGTGGTTTTGTTTCTGTTTTTTATTTGTACTGTAATGCAACAATCCAGACTGAGGTGTCTTGTGGTATTAAACAAAAGCAACAGTCCCACTGAGCTCACACTCAGATGTGCAACTTGACAGCATTAATCAAGCCAGGTTAAAAACTACTCAGGTGTGCCTGTGTGTATTTTTTCCTCTCTGCCTCGTTAATTAACAGCATACTTAAAACACAAAACAGGAAGAGGCAGCTTGGGGCCGTGCCTTGGAGGGAGGGATGCTGGCAGGCAGCTAAGGAGGAAGGAGGTGACTTTGAATTCCCATGCCAAGGCTTGGGCTTATGTGTGCCATTGCACCTGTGCCCATTGCTGCTTCCTAACCATAAATAAACCTGCCTGGGCTGTTTGAGTGTCCCTTTCCTCTCACCCAGCATGACAGCACAAGCAGAAACAGCCTGGCCCTGGCAGTGAAGGCACAGGGCAGATGAAGTCAGGACAAACAGATGGCACAGGCCACCTCAGAGTTGGCTGGGAGGGATTCTGGGCACCACAGTAATACTGCTCATAGTTAATTAATAGCAAAAAGATGATTAAAGGAAGCAAATTTCAAACATTTTTAACACTCTAAGAAGGATCTCTCACAGTTCTTTCATCCAGTAAATAATACTGAGTGTAGACCTGCTGCCAGAAATAGGAGCAGCCTGATCCTTCTCTGCATGGAGGACAGGTGACCCCACTGCTCATGACCCGTGGGGTGGCTCCTGCTGTGCAGCCCAGCTCTGCCCAAGGCTTTGTGGGACTGCACAGGGGCTGCATTAGGGTCCTTGGAAATCTTTGCCTCGTCTGCTCTCAAACCTCACTTCAGTCCAGATCTGCTTATTAATGCACATCCAGACTTGGTGCTGCTGTCCTTGTAAGGTCCCACCAGCAAACCCAGCAGCCCCCCCTTCTGCCTGAGCCAGGAATTCCTGCTCTTCCAGAGCCAGGAGCAGAGGCTGTGCCACAGGGACCTCATGGGAGGACACCAGAGCTGCCCTCACAGGGCAGGACACGACCAGGCTGATTTGGCAAAGAAAAATCTTGATTTTCAAGTTCAGTAGACAAATTCCCATCTTAACTAAGTGTTGGTGGCTGGCCAGCCCGTTTTCTGCATAGCACCCTGCCAGGGGTGGGTAAATCCATGGCAGGACCCTCGGGCTGGGTGGGAATGGGAACAGCACGAGGTTGAACCCCAGGGGTTTCCTCAGGGAGCAGCCCCAGAAGTGGCACCTCCAAGCTTGGCTTGGCCTGAAGTGCTCCAAAAGCAGCACCACGGGCATTTCCTTCAATGCCACCGAGATCAGTGACCACGATCTGTGGGCTGGAGGTTCCACACACCAGGAGGGGGCTCGGGGTGCCCCTGCAGCACTGGGAGCAGCTGGGATGGCCCCAGTTCTCCAGTGCTGTAAGGATAAACAGGATGGAAACTCCATCCCTCTCTGACAGCCTGGCCTGAGCAGCTTTGTGGGCAGAGCAGGTTGAGGAGAAGGGACAAGGATGGGTTTAAGTTGTGCCAGAGGAGTGGCAGGAGCCGGGGCACAGAATCTCTTCTCCTCCCGAGCAGTTTCCAGCAGGCAGCGCTGTTGCACCGCCTTTGCCTCTCAAAGCCGACCTGCCGCTGGAAAAAGATGATGATGTTCCTTTCTAGCAGTTTCTGCTCGGCTTTCCAACTCCTTACATCTAAGGATGGGTTTCCTTTTAGTTTTTTCATATTAGAAAGGATTTGCAGAGTGGTCAATGTCGCAGCATCCCAAGGCAATCCTGAGGAGGAGCAGCCCCACTCCCCCCACCGGGAGGTGACCTGCACACCTCGGCACGGATCCACGGTTCCACTAAGCTCCAGGGCCCCATCCCTAAGGAACACAACTATATGTTCACTTCTACACTAAAAGCCATCCAAAACCAGCAACTGATGCTGGAAAAGCCATGAAGATGCTCAGCCCTTCCTTCCTCCCTCCAGCTGGTGCACGGATGCCCTGCTAAGATTCATTATGAGCTCACAGAGGCAGAAGAGCCCCCAGCACAGGCTCCGAGCCCAACACCTGCCAGGGCAGGGCTTGGCAAACCCATCCCCCGCCGTGCCAGGGCTGAGCCTCCCCTCCCTTCCCTCCCTCCTTGCCCAAAGCCCAGCCTGCATTTGTATTCTCCCCTTCCCAGCACCTGCCTGGGGCCTGGGCAGGGCAGGGGACAGAGGTGACTCTGCCCCAGATGGCTCCGCACTGGGGCTGCTGGTGCCCCTCTAGCAGCACTTGACAGGAGTTTGGCAGTGTCACAGGGCTGGAGAGGTCACCCAGATGGCCTGGATTGGCATTCCTGGTGCAGGAACTGCCTGCCAGCCCCTCCAGGGAGCTGGCACAGAGGGCAAGGATCCTGCCCAGGCACAGACTGGCCACTGCTAAGGGGGAATTCGTGACGTGGGGACAACAGCAGCAACCAAAATGGATGGGAAAAGCAATTCTTTGTGCTCCTCTCATCCTTCCCAGGGACAGCAGGAGCCTCCTCCCACTCCTCCCTCGGGAGGAGCTGAGAGGGCAGGGTCCTGCCCTTTGCTTTGCCTCTGCAAAAGCTTTGAGGCAGCTCTGCATCAGAAACTGTCACAACAGCACTCCCTGCCCCTCTGCTGTCACTTCATCAACCCTTCCCGAAGGGTTTTTGTTAACCCTGTGCCATTTGGATGCTCAGAGGCAGTGGGAGAAGCCAGGGCTGTTGGGAAGGGCTGGGCTGTCCCAAGGCATCACCCACTGCCTGATAAAACCTGGGGGCTGCTCAGCACACCCAGAGTCACTGCAGTCCTGTGGGGTGACCAAACTGCACCCCACCCCTAAAGCCATTAATTCAAGAGGCAGCAGAGCCCAAACCAAAGGTGAGACCTGCAGAAAGCATCCCTGGAATAGGGAATGGGCTGTCCTGGGAAAAGGGGGCTTGGTGCATTTTACAGGGAAATTAAAGCTGCCTCAACTCCATCCCGTGCTTCTTAATCCTTCCAGCTCCAGATCCTTCCCAATGAGCCAAGGAAAGTCACCAGCCTCAGACAGACACCGTGAGCCCAGACTGTGTCTGTTCTATGGTCAGACTGCAGGACAGGCTCCTCCAGGGTGTGCCTGGAAAGGTCTCCCTGCCACACAGAGCCTCCCCTGGGCCCTGCCCAACATCACAGGGGGAGCCTCACTGCTCTGATTGCCTCACAAGAGAGAGATGGATCCCCCCGGAAATGTCCTTTATAGAGTGTCAGAATTCATTAATTACAGGCAGATGCAGTCAGGAGACTCCCACCTTTCTGAACAATGAAAGATGCCCTTCTAAGTGCTAAAGGCAGCAGGGAAGAATGAGATCCTCATACAGATCTGATCCTGATGGGGGTTGTGCATTTAGAAGGACACAAAGATTGTAGGTGTGACAGGTGAGAAAAGAAAACCAGGTTACACAAAGGGGGAGGTCAAGTAAAAATGCATTCATCCATTTTTTAAAGATGCTGGAGAAGAGTATTTGACTCCAGCAAGTGCTGGAACTTTATGCATTATTCAAACTGTGTGAACATTTGAAGCCTGGAGACCTGGAAGCCTTCAGTGAGAACAAGTCTCCTGGCACGTTCCCAGGGAGGAAGTGTGGCTGATCCCTGTCCTCCTGGCACAATCAATGATTTCCATGGTTTCCTCTTCACAGCAGCTCTGTCCCCCTGCACCCCAGAGTACACCACAGCCCAGTGGGATGCACTCGGGATACCCCAGGGAGCAGCTGAGCCACCGGGCACACAAAGCGAAGAGGTGCAAACACACAGAAAGGCAGCAGGAAGGCAGAGGGATGAAGGAGAACAGCAGCCCACATGAAACTTGAAAACCAAGTCACCCCCGTCCTCCAAACCCACCCTCACCCTCCCAGGCAGCCAATCCCATCCACAGCAATATTCCAGAGAACCTCATTCTGCTGCACTTCAAGCTATAAATTCAAACATCAGAATAAAAAAAGAGGTGCCAGACGGGGCCAGGTTTTCAGACAAGCAGGCAGGCAGCCAGCAGCACAAACACAGTGAGCACGGGCAGACATCTGCCTTGCCCCCTCCTCCTCCCCATCCCTTTTATTTATTCCCATCTTTTCTTTTTTCTTTTCTTCACATTGCCCCGGTGCTTTCAGAGGGGGACCTGCATCACCTCGCCCATGGGGTTTGTGTTTCAAGCCTTTCGTTTCTTTTCTGTGAATCCAGCTCAAGCTTTGCCAGCCTTTCTCCCTTGATCCAGCCCCACAAGGGTGGGAACTGGAGCAGGATCTGCCTCATCTTCTACGGCAAAGGCAGCTGGGGAGGGATGGCTGCACAGCAAAAGCAGGGGGTGCATCCCACACAAACCCACACTGTGCTGGCCAGAAAGCCCACTGATGCGAGAAAGGGGAATTTCACTGGTAATGCAGCAACTTCCCAACTAATCTCACATACAAAAGGCACATTCACACACTACAGAGCAGCCAGCTGCTGCAGGAGAGCAGAGGCTGCCTCAAACGTCCTCACTTTTTCCTTGTGTGAAAGGCTCTTGGGAAAGGAGCCGATGTCAAAGTGCCTCTGCTTTATAAAATACTTTCCCAATCAACGAAATAAGTTCAAAAGCAAAACAAATCCACTGTAACAACAGCCCCAACCCACAGCCCTGTCCCTTGCACCTCAGGGGTGATTTTAAGGTGAAGGATGAGGGCAGGCTCAGTGTCCCCACCCATGGAAGGGAGTGGAGGTTTCCCTCAGGGCTCTGAGTCTGGAATCTGCAGGGCAAAGGGAACCACGGAAAGGTTTGGGTGGGAAGGAACCCCTCAAACTCATCCTGTCCAACTGAACAGAGTGATTTTCACATCAAGTTTTGAAGGACAGGTGGGCCACCAGGAAAATAAGGAAAAGCTCCTTCCCAAGAGCCAGAGAGGTTATTTGCTGTTGGTGAAACAGCAGCTGATGGCATAAAAGCCCACAGGGCTCTAAGTTAATCTCTCTTTCCAGAGCAGGACTGGAGTAATAAAGGGACAGACATGAGACCACGGGGAAAAAAAAAGAATATTTGATGGGGGCTGAGCATGTGCACATGATCCATCCTGCACCCCCACGAGAGGTGGGTTGGGAGCCTTGGGAAGGAACAGTAGAGCTGCACAGACAGAAA